AGGCTTTGCCACTTCTATTATCCAGGGACTGTTGATCTACTTTATTACTATAGTTTCTTAGATTAAAAATAAATAAAAATTGTCTAATCATTATCACAAAGAATAGATAATTGCACTTTCTCAATTATTTTCCTGTGTACTGTTAAATTTAGTCTTTTTAATTGGGCAGGTAGAAGTGATTTGGACCTTAGTTTCTAAGACATTGTAAAATACTGCTTTGGTACTGCCAGAGATGAAAGGCACTTACATAAGATTCTAGCAGATCAACAATTGCTTTTTTTATACGGAATTCTATAAATGCAAGTCAAAAACTATTTTTTAAAATCCAGCAGTTTATGCTTTAATGTATTTCAAAGCTTTCAGTCAAAATGAGCGCTGCATTCAGACGCTGCTGCCACACAGCAGCACAGACTCCATCTCTCCAGATTAACGCATCCAAACAAGATTATTTCAGTAATGTTTCTCCTCCCAAATGGCAAAAGCAGCACTAAACAAATTGGGTCTCTTCCAAAAAAAGAAAAAAAGCAATCAGTTTAAAAATAGTAAGAAATCCGTTCACGTGATCTATGACGCAAAGTTACAAATGCTGGGGTTTTTCTGTTGTGTCTTAGGGGCCTGGAGCATGTCTCTGGTGAGGAAAGGCTGAGGGACTTGAGGCTTTTTAGTCTGGAGAAGAGAAGGCTGAGGGGGGATCTGATCAACACCTATAAATACTGAAAGGGTGGGTGTCAGGGGGATGGGGCCAGGCTTTTCTCAGTGGTGCCCAGGGACAGGACAAGAGGGAACAGGCACAAACTTGAACATAGGAAGTTCCATCTCACCATGAGGAGGAACTTCTTTCCTGTGAGGGTGGCAGAGCCCTGGAAGGGGCTGCCCAGAGAGGTGGTGGAGTCTCCTTCTCTGGAGACATTCAAACCCACCTGGACACGTTCCTGTGGGACCTGCTCTGGGTGACCCTGCTCTGGCAGGGGGTTGGACTAGATGATCTCCAGAGGTCCCTTCCAACCCCGTATCATTTTCTGATTCTGTAAAGGTTCCTTATTCAGCAAACATGATCGTTTTACAACTTTGCCATAATTAACAGCCTCAGAATACTTCTCTGTCCTCTTATTCAACTTCTCCACCTTTCTCTCATTCCAGGTTTCTGAAATACCATCTCACAGGACATTGTACGTGTTGACAGCTCACGTGCTCACCTCGTCATGGTCAATATCTGCATCTCCAGTGATGACGATGCGCTTCTCAATTCTTGTTTCTGATACCCCACCTTTTACCATCTACAGATGGCACCAAAAAAAAGAAGAAAACATCTTTGTAATCATTCTATATCCCACAAAGCACTCCCTTCTGTTGCACTAAAACATTTCTGTGACTGAGTTGCAATAGCAGTAAATATTCTTGGTGCTAAGTCATCCTTTCCTTTTTCAGTTCCACAGTCTGTGAATTCCAGCAATTGCTAAAATTGATAAAAACCAAGCAACAGGGAATTCCTTCTATTACTGAAGCCCAAGTCTGAACAGACCTAGATACTCAGACAAACTGAAATTCCAGCTTATTCCACCATATAAATACAGTAATAAGGAAATTCCAGGACTCTTTTCTCTGATTTCAACCCATCTACCATGGGGCTCTTCTCGTTTTCTGAAGAACCCTATGCCATTAAAGACAAATAAAGATCTGTTTTTCAGTTCTGCCACTTGACAACAGACTTTAGCGAAGTATTTGCAAGGTATTTTATATTGCTGATGGAAATAACTTTGTGCTTTGTTTCTTCTTTTCTTACTCTAATGATTAAAACATTTTAGCTTTTAAAAAAAATTTTCACAGAAAAAATATATATTTTTAAAATCATCCTTTATAAGAGACAAGAATAAACTACCACTTAAGATCGTGTCAGTTTATTAGAAAAGATCCAAGATAATTCCTTTAAGAACACTATTAGAATATCAAAACTATTTTGGCAGGTGACTCTATCTATCATGAACAGTTTGGGATGTAAAACAGAAAGTTAGTTTAGGAAGGTCAAACAGTTTTTGAATCGACAATAAGATAAGGATCTGCTGCATTAGGGTAATCCCAGTAATTTTTTAAGTAGAAGACGAGACCAAAACCATTTTCTCTAATGGTTCCTTCCAAAAAGCAGCATTATTTGACAACTAATCTTGACAAGTAAATGCACACTTTTTTTCACCCTTTCTAGCTATGGCAGCACAATTTATTGGATATAAGCTTTTCCCTAAAATGGTGGTGGCTAAATGATTCCTAAAGGGAGCAGGAGACTGAAAATGACCTGCTGACCAGTCTGTAAAACAAAACATACACATTTTAAAATCTAATCTTAGTTTATTTCATGTGACTTATCTGAAAACTTTCTAACATCATCCTTCCACTGTCATTCTGTGAATACAACTTTCAATCCTTAGAATACTACCATCTTTAGGATATATGTATTGAATATATATCCAGTGAGCAGTGAATTATTGTTGTATTCTGTGATGATGTGAAACTTGCCTTGGGGGCAAAAAATCCCAAACTCTCACCTTACATTTCCCTCTTCCCTTTTGCTTCACCCTAAATAATGGTTTCTGTAATTTTCTTGGAAGACTAATTTAAGAGTTCGAAGACAACTGTTTAAACTTACGTTGCTGGGGCACACCTAAGATTTGATAAATATGTAAATAAATCAATAATAAAAATAATCATCACCACACTTTGGTAGTTCTAACATATTTTGGCAATGTATATCCTTGCAAAGCAACCTAGTGGTATGGTCTGTTTTTAAATATGCTCTAAAGCAACAGCACAAAGATCATCAACACAAAACACTGCTCAGACAAATCAGTTCCATCAACAAAGATCCTGTGAGGTATCAGTGAGTGACAACAGGACTGAAACTGTAAAAATTTAGGTGCACACTCATTTGTCAAACACAGAAATAAGACCTAAGTGAAGTACTAAAAAACCTAAACATATTTGTCTCCCTTTCTCCTGTCCTGTTCCCAGATATTCCTGTTCATTCATTAGAGCTTCTCTGTTCAAAATCCATGTACAGAAAGATTAACTCTCACACATGCCTGGAATGAATCCAATTCATTTCCAGTCAGTTTTCTTCAATAAATTAGCAGATATAAGAGAAAATTCACGTAAAACTCGACTTGGAGGGTTTGGGGTTAATTTTAGTTCAGAGAGACATCACTATATTTTACTTTACCTTTGTGATGTGTGTAGTTGTGGTAGTAGAAATGGACTCTGATGTAATTGTCTGCGCGCTCAGCAGCACACCGGTGTTGCCACCAGCACTGCCATCAAACTGTAAGGAACAAAAAAATTTGGTATTTTTGTATTTTGGCATTTAAAAGCTTTGTTTTCATAGCAGAAAAGGCTGGCTTTCTTACTAAACATGTTCTTTTAATTCAGTTAGAACTGCAATCTAAAGAGAGGCCATCCAAGTTTAGCGAGTCCTCTAAGACTGTTGTTATGGGATTGTAGTGGAAAATTTATGATCAAAATTCCATGATACAAAAATGAGTTATACATTTGCAGACAGCAAGGAAGCCCTTAAACTAAAAACAAACAAACAAACTTAGAACTTCAGCAGTAACACTGCTTTGTCTACAAACATTTCAGTCACCTAATTCACAGCCAAAGCATAAGCTCAGCTGCTAGAAAATGGTATAGGCTTTTGAAAAAGCATTTTTTGGACATTATCTATTTTGCAATGGGAATAAAAACTGGCTACCATACCTGTGGAGATTCGTATGTGATGGTTTTAGTTTCTGTTTGAACAATTGGAACTTCTTTAGTGGAGATTTCAGTTCTCTGTGTGGCATCTGAAATGGTCACCATCTCTGTCTTCACTACTGGAGGCTGCGGTGCAAGAAACAACCCATCAGTTCCAAAGACAGAAGAAGGTTTGGAAAGTGGACCAAGAAAACACAACCAAATCATAACTGTCAGGTAAATATTTGAGTGCCTTCCCAATTGCAAAGCAGGCAATAAATAAGTGAAATGAAGACTAATAATGCACCAGCCCTCTATTGTCTACAGGAAAATTTAAACTCCTAATAACCTCGCCAAAGGTCTGTGTTTCAGCCAACACTCCTCATCACAGAAAGCAATGGCTAAAACCAAGCTGCAACACAGGTTTTGAAAACATTTAAAAGAGCAACACTAGGGAAAAAAAAATAAAAATCTTAGTTTGCATAAAGAAACTGAGAGCTAGCTCTGATGGCTAAGCTTCATATTAGACCTGATCTGGGAAAATATCTACCATTGCTCCGTCAAAATTACATAAATATTTAAATTTCTTAAAATGTACTACTTCTGGAACAGAAAAACAACTTTGACAATTGGATTTTAAGCCGTCTACGTTCAACGTATTAATTGTGGAAATCAATGACTTCTTTTGACAATCCTAGAAAGCCATTTTACCCATTTGGAGTGAGTTAGTCGTGTTCTCTGCCATATCACAAAGCAAAGAACCAGGGGTCTGTAAGCCATGGAACTCGTGATATCTTATTGGAGCAGATTTTCAATATATTTAAGAAATTAAAACACACAAAAAAAGATCTAGTAAAGCCTTTTGATATTTTTCTAGATGACCAGTTGCTGTCTCCCACTGAATTTGGATGCACACGGGGGAAACCCCAGGGGAAAAATAAATTCCTTCTACAGTTGGTTTTTTTTTTTAGAATTCCTTTTCCACGACAAGAAGAAGCAGGTGGATAACTAGGAAAAAACCCATCCGATTGCTGAAAAACTCAGCAGACGATCACACCAACTTTACAAAGAGGTGCATCCCTGTGCTTTATTTTTTTTCCCTTTCTGCTTCTTTATAAAAAGTCTGCCCAGTAATGAACCCTTTAACCTTGCTTGGCTTAAATTAACTGGTTGTGACTGGAACCCATGTGTGCCTCCCTAAATATCTACTGCACCTACTTCATAGTAAGATCCTGTTATATACTTCATCCCTTTACTCTAGATCCCTTTATTCTAGACTATAATTACATAACATTTTTTAAAAGTAAAAAAAACCAAAAAAACAAAAAACCAAGAAAATCAGTGAGTAATGGGGGGGGGAAGGAAAAAAATTTTGTGATGGATGTTTTCTAATTTCAGTTGCCAATAGTGTTCCAATCACAGTGACATGTCATGGACGTGTCAAAAACAATTGACAAATAGACAAGACGAGACTTAAAACATTGGAGACACGTAAATAATCAATATACATTATGTATGTGCATATAAAATAAGGGGGGAGACAAAAAGAAGATGTCAGTCTTCGGAAGGTTTGCCTTACTGGTGATTTTCTAGCAAAAACCGTCAGAAACCATAAGCGAAGGAGACAGAATTTCACTGCTCATCAATGGTTTCCCCTTCCAAATGATCTGAATCTTGTTGGACGCCTGAAGAGTTGGAGGAATAGGAGAAGAAGAAAGGCAGGCCCGTTTTCACCCCAAGAAATACCTCTGCTTAATCTAGTCGTCAAACTGTTCTACCATTTACCTCAGAACAACAAATTATTTGTGGCGCAACATCAATGTCAACATGAGACACATCTCCATTGAGTTTGAGCTGCTCTTCCTCTTTCTCTTCACCTAAATCTTGCTTAACTTCCTCTGACAAATTCTTGTCTTCTGTAGCTATGGTCACTGCATTTTCCTGGACCAGATCTTCAGCTGTAACTTGCGTGTGCTCCACCGACACGTTTAATTTACCGCCTTCTGCCGTGGCTTCCACGTGCTGTAGTTTTTCTTCATGTTCTTGCCTTTTCACGTCTTCCTCTTCCTCCTGTTCTTCCCTGATGACCTCCTCAATCGCCCTAGGATGTGGCTGGTATTCTCCCACCTCTTCATCCTCACTCTCACTACTACTGCTGCTGCTGCTGCTACTATCTGATGGCAACGATGAAGAGTCCTTTTTTGAGAGATGCTCCACCTTACATGTCTCCCCAGTGGCAACTTGCATTTTCCCTTTGGTGGTCTCCTCTACGACTAGTGTTTCTTCTATCCCAACCTCTGCCTGCTTCTTCTCCTCCACTATGGCCAGAGTCTCATGTGAACTCTGCACAAAAAAACACGGATGAGGAAAAACAAAAAAAGTAGAGCATGTGAATAAAATAAAACGACGGAAACAAAATTAGCTGATGGCTGGTTCGTGTCATGTGGAAGACAAAAGATGGTTGTGATGGTTAACTGAAAAAAGGAAGGGAAGAAATGAATGAAGATGGATTGGAAGAGTTAGAGCCAAATTTAGCGATGGAAAAAAATCAGTAGAACCTTATCAGCATCGCTGACTCCAGTACAAGGCCCTTCTGCTCTGGAAGCATGTCTCTGTGAAACAAAAAGCAATCAGAGGACAAAAAATCAATGCATAACCCTTGCCAACAGTGCAAATCCTCCAAGCAAGCTTCTAAGAACATACATACATGATGCTAAACAGAGTCACATAGAACTACGCTCCTTTCCTTCCACTTCACTGAAATATTCCAGTCAAAAGTAGGTAAGAATTATGCACATTGTTAATTAGGATAAGAATTTCATTACGAAAGACTGAAAATAAAAGCATGAATGCACTGGCCGGTGATGCTAATGCAGTTATTTCTCTTAGTTAAAACAGGAATTAATAATAAATAATATTAAGAAAAAAAACTATTTAGCATTCTATTATCAGTTTATCATCATGGAAAATAAAAAAAAGACTTTAAGATTTTATTAGTTGTTCATCTCTGGTCTGTTACTTTATAAAACTTAAAGAGATAAGAAGAGGGAGCTTGTTTAGGGTGGTATGTCAGAATAACAATACACCATTACCAAGATGATCCCATTAGGATTCAGTTTGGAGGCAAAATGATGACATTAAAGCAGTTATATTAGTATTTGTTCCGTAACGAAATAAATCTGCGATGGATATCCCAGAAAGCCCACCGTGAATTATGCATTAGGGAGGTTTTTTTGATCTAAAGGAGTTTTTTAGCAACCAGCTTGCAGCAAGATTTGAGCGCAAACGCTAAGAATACGAAAAAATCAACACATCATCTGTGACTTAATACTAGCTTTTATGGCTGTTTACTCAGCAAAGCACCTACAAGAGGGCGAGCCAGAGTTCCTGGGGCAGCTTAAATGAGCATTGATTAATGTTTCTGGGGTAGCTTAAATGAGCACTTTTTAATGTTTCTGGGGAAGCCTAAATGAGCGCTGATTAATATTTCTGGAGCGTTGCAGACCCACAGCTCGGCTCCCCAACTGCCTATCTCCCTCTCCCCCCTAATCTAAGCCCCACCGAGTAGGCTGAGGCCACCTTTTTGGGGAGTTTAAGGCATGGGGGGTGGCTGAGACCCCCGACCCCTCGGTCCCCGTCCCCCCTCCCGGCCCCTACCTGGGGGGGCGGTGGCGCGGCCCGGGCGGCGGCCTCTTCCCCCGCAGCGCCCCCTGCCGGCCGCGGGGCGGCGGCGCAGAAGCCCGCCTGGCTAAAGAGAATGGACGTTATCTCCTCTTCTAGGCTCTAAACGAGTCAGGAAAAGGGAAAGGAAAGAATTAAAAAGAGCAGCCACCTACGAAGGAAAGGTTTGGAGAGAGAGACAAGGTGAGAAAGAGGCGGATCGGAGAAGGCAGGAGGACACTGGACGGGACACAGAGCTGCTGTCATCGAGACACACGGTCGCGCTCCGATACGGCACCACGCACATCACGGGGTAAAAATCACCAACACCCACATCTCCACGCAGTTTCCAAACACAACAGTGCACTCAGGCAGCAATTCTCTATTTCTCAAGATCCTGTTATATACTTCATCCCTTTACTCTCGATCCCTTTATTCTAGACTATAATTACATAACATTTTTTAAAAGTAAAAAAAACCAAAAAAACAAAAAACCAAGAAAATCAGTGAGTAATGGGGGGGGGAAGGAAAAAAATTTTGTGATGGATGTTTTCTAATTTCAGTTGCCAATAGTGTTCCAATCACAGTGACATGTCATGGACGTGTCAAAAACAATTGACAAATAGACAAGACGAGACTTAAAACATTGGAGACACGTAAATAATCAATATACATTATGTATGTGCATATATAATAAGGGGGAGACAAAAAGAAGATGTCAGTCTTCGGAAGGTTTGCCTTACTGGTGATTTTCTAGCAAAAACCGTCAGAAACCATAAGCAAAGGAGACAGAATTTCACTGCTCATCAATGGTTTCCCCTTCCAAATGATCTGAATCTTGTTGGACGCCTGAAGAGTTGGAGGAATAGGAGAAGAAGAAAGGCAGGCCCGTTTTCACCCCAAGAAATACCTCTGCTTAATCTAGTCGTCAAACTGTTCTACCATTTACCTCAGAACAACAAATTATTTGTGGCGCAACATCAATGTCAACATGAGACACATCTCCATTGAGTTTGAGCTGCTCTTCCTCTTTCTCTTCACCTAAATCTTGCTTAACTTCCTCTGACAAATTCTTGTCTTCTGTAGCTATGGTCACTGCATTTTCCTGGACCAGATCTTCAGCTGTAACTTGCGTGTGCTCCACCGACACGTTTAATTTACCGCCTTCTGCCGTGGCTTCCACGTGCTGTAGTTTTTCTTCATGTTCTTGCCTTTTCACGTCTTCCTCTTCCTCCTGTTCTTCCCTGATGACCTCCTCAATCGCCCTAGGATGTGGCTGGTATTCTCCCACCTCTTCATCCTCACTCTCACTACTACTGCTGCTGCTGCTGCTACTATCTGATGGCAACGATGAAGAGTCCTTTTTTGAGAGATGCTCCACCTTACATGTCTCCCCAGTGGCAACTTGCATTTTCCCTTTGGTGGTCTCCTCTACGACTAGTGTTTCTTCTATCCCAACCTCTGCCTGCTTCTTCTCCTCCACTATGGCCAGAGTCTCATGTGAACTCTGCACAAAAAAACACGGATGAGGAAAAACAAAAAAAGTAGAGCATGTGAATAAAATAAAACGACGGAAACAAAATTAGCTGATGGCTGGTTCGTGTCATGTGGAAGACAAAAGATGGTTGTGATGGTTAACTGAAAAAAGGAAGGGAAGAAATGAATGAAGATGGATTGGAAGAGTTAGAGCCAAATTTAGCGATGGAAAAAAATCAGTAGAACCTTATCAGCATCGCTGACTCCAGTACAAGGCCCTTCTGCTCTGGAAGCATGTCTCTGTGAAACAAAAAGCAATCAGAGGACAAAAAATCAATGCATAACCCTTGCCAACAGTGCAAATCCTCCAAGCAAGCTTCTAAGAACATACATACATGATGCTAAACAGAGTCACATAGAACTACGCTCCTTTCCTTCCACTTCACTGAAATATTCCAGTCAAAAGTAGGTAAGAATTATGCACATTGTTAATTAGGATAAGAATTTCATTACGAAAGACTGAAAATAAAAGCATGAATGCACTGGCCGGTGATGCTAATGCAGTTATTTCTCTTAGTTAAAACAGGAATTAATAATAAATAATATTGAGAAAAAAAACTATTTAGCATTCTATTATCAGTTTATCATCATGGAAAATAAAAAAAAGACTTTAAGATTTTATTAGTTGTTCATCTCTGGTCTGTTACTTTATAAAACTTAAAGAGATAAGAAGAGGGAGATTGTTTAGGGTGCTATGTCAGAATAACAATACACCATTACCAAGATGATCCCATTAGGATTCAGTTTGGAGGCAAAATGATGACATTAAAGCAGTTATATTAGTATTTGTTCCGTAACGAAATAAATCTGCGATGGATATCCCAGAAAGCCCACCGTGAATTATGCATTAGGGAGGTTTTTTTGATCTAAAGGAGTTTTTTAGCAACCAGCTTGCAGCAAGATTTGAGCGCAAACGCTAAGAATACGAAAAAATCAACACATCATCTGTGACTTAATACTAGCTTTTATGGCTGTTTACTCAGCAAAGCACCTACAAGAGGGCGAGCCAGAGTTCCTGGGGCAGCTTAAATGAGCATTGATTAATGTTTCTGGGGTAGCTTAAATGAGCACTTTTTAATGTTTCTGGGGAAGCCTAAATGAGCGCTGATTAATATTTCTGGAGCGTTGCAGACCCACAGCTCGGCTCCCCAACTGCCTATCTCCCTCTCCCCCCTAATCTAAGCCCCACCGAGTAGGCTGAGGCCACCTTTTTGGGGAGTTTAAGGCATGGGGGGTGGCTGAGACCCCCGACCCCTCGGTCCCCGTCCCCCCTCCCGGCCCCTACCTGGGGGGGCGGTGGCGCGGCCCGGGCGGCGGCCTCTTCCCCCGCAGCGCCCCCTGCCGGCCGCGGGGCGGCGGCGCAGAAGCCCGCCTGGCTAAAGAGAATGGACGTTATCTCCTCTTCTAGGCTCTAAACGAGTCAGGAAAAGGGAAAGGAAAGAATTAAAAAGAGCAGCCACCTACGAAGGAAAGGTTTGGAGAGAGAGACAAGGTGAGAGAGGCGGATCGGAGAAGGCAGGAGGACACTGGACGGGACACAGAGCTGCTGTCATCGAGACACACGGTCGCGCTCCGATACGGCACCACGCACATCACGGGGTAAAAATCACCAACACCCACATCTCCACGCAGTTTCCAAACACAACAGTGCACTCAGGCAGCAATTCTCTATTTCCTACTGGGATTTTTCCCATTTAAACATCCATTTTTAACACTTTCTATCGCCTAATTGGCTCAGAGTTTCAGGGCAGTCAGACAGTTTGCTTGGAATCATAAAATCATAGAATCATAGAATTGTTTAGGTTGGAAAAGACCTTAAAGATCATCCAATAACTTTGCTGTCTTTTTTCAGTTATCTTTAATACAGTTTTGAATAGGAGCATGAAGGAAATCTTGCTTCTAAATCTGTAACTATTAGGCCTTTAAGTTCCTTTTGATTAACTTCAAGCTTATACAAAATTTTGGCATTTATAAAGGTGAGACTGGAGCTACCCCATCACTAGTGGATGCTGGTTTTATAAATGAAGAGATGTTCTGATATGACTATATTCAGATAGGATATCTCAAGTACTTTTTGGTCACTTATTTTCACTCTTCTTTTGCACTTGCTTACATGTTGGATGGTTGATAGCTGAGCTGAGAAAAAAATCTTAAATCAGTTGGTGGCATGGATTCCGCTAATTAGCAAAAGTCAATTTAGCTTTTTTCAACATCTGAACATCTCAGTTAGTTATGGACCAGCTGTTGCTTTGTCCATGAACTCAAGATATAGCTGCGGTCATCTTTTCCCTCATAAAGAAAACAGATTAATAATTAGAATCATAGAATCATAGAATGGTTAGAGTTGGAAAAGACCTTAAAGATCATCCAGTTCCAACCCCCTGCCCTGGGCAGGGACACCTCCCACCAGACCAGGTTGCTCCAAGCCCCATCCAGCCTGGCCTTGAACCCCTCCAGGGATGGGGCAGCCACAGCTTCTCTGGGCAACCTGTTCCAGTGAACAATCCATACCCACAATGCTGAAATGAGATATCCTTCATAATATATGGGTTTTTTTTATATATATATATGTTTTTCAAATGCTTAAGTAACCAAAGGAAATTAATTTCTATTAAAGACTCTCTTATCCAAAAGTCTTTCCCATTCTACTGGGAGAAGCTGTTTTATTCAAACACACATAAAAGAATACGTTGCTTTAAAGCATAAATGAGGTTCATAGTCTGGTCTATTTTCTGTTGGGCTATAAATCTGTGTGGTAAAACAAACCTGCACAGTAAAACAAACTTTTAACATTCACGTGGGTACAGAAGCCTCTGAAAAGGCCTGAAGTCTTTATTCCAGTTTTCCTTCCAGGAGCTCTTGTATAAAGTTAGAAGTAAAAGCAGTTAAAATAAAAAGTGAAGAAAGTCACAAATAGCGGTTTTTTTGATCTAAAGGAGTTTTTTAGCAACCAGCTTGCAGCAAGATTTGAGCGCAAACGCTAAGAATACGAAAAAATCAACACATCATCTGTGACTTAATACTAGCTTTTATGGCTGTTTACTCAGCAAAGCACCTACAAGAGGGCGAGCCAGAGTTCCTGGGGCAGCTTAAATGAGCACTGATTAATGTTTGTGGGGAAGCTTAAATGAGCGCTGATTAATGTTTCTGGAGCGTTGCAGACCCACAACTCGGCTCCCCAACTGCCTGTCTCTCTCTCCCCCCTAAGCTAAACCCCCACCGAGTAGGCTGAGGCCACCTTTTTGGGGAGTTTAAGGCAGGGGGGGTGGCTGAGACCCCCGACCCCTCGGTCCCCGTCCCCCCTCCCGGCCCCTACCTGGGGGGGCGGCGGCGCGGCCCGGGCGGCGGCCTCTTCCCCCGCAGCGCCCCCTGCCGGCCGCGGGGCGGCGGCGCAGAAGCCCGCCTGGCTAAAGAGAATGGACGTTATCTCCTCTTCTAGGCTCTAAACGAGTCAGGAAAAGGGAAAGGAAAGAATTAAAAAGAGCAGCCAGCTACGAAGGAAAGGTTTGGAGAGAGAGACAAGGTGAGAAAGAGGCGGATCGGAGAAGGCAGGAGGACACCGGACGGGACACAGAGCTGCTGTCATTGAGACACACGGTCGCGCTCCGATACGGCACCACACACATCACGGGGTAAAAATCACCAACACCAACATCTCCACGCATTTTCCAAACACAACAGCAATTCTCTATTTACTACTGGGATTTTTCCCATTTAAACATCCATTTTTAACACTTTCTATCGCCTAATTGGCTCAGAGTTTCAGGGCAGTCAGACAGTTTGCTTGGAATCATAAAATCATAGAATCATAGAATTGTTTAGGTTGGAAAAGACCTTAAAGATCATCCAATAACTTTGCTGTCTTTTTTCAGTTATCTTTAATACAGTTTTGAATAGGAGCATGAAGGAAATCTTGCTTCTAAATCTGTAACTATTAGGCCTTTAAGTTCCTTTTGATTAACTTCAAGCTTATACAAAATTTTGGCATTTATAAAGGTGAGACTGGAGCTACCCCATCACTAGTGGATGCTGGTTTTATAAATGAAGAGATGTTCTGATATGACTATATTCAGATAGGATATCTCAAGTACTTTTTGGTCACTTATTTTCACTCTTCTTTTGCACTTGCTTACATGTTGGATGGTTGATAGCTGAGCTGAGAAAAAAATCTTAAATCAGTTGGTGGCATGGATTCCGCTAATTAGCAAAAGTCAATTTAGCTTTTTTCAACATCTGAACATCTCAGTTAGTTATGGACCAGCTGTTGCTTTGTCCATGAACTCAAGATATAGCTGCGGTCATCTTTTCCCTCATAAAGAAAACAGATTAATAATTAGAATCATAGAATCATAGAATGGTTAGAGTTGGAAAAGACCTTAAAGATCATCCAGTTCCAACCCCCTGCCCTGGGCAGGGACACCTCCCACCAGACCAGGTTGCTCCAAGCCCCATCCAGCCTGGCCTTGAACCCCTCCAGGGATGGGGCAGCCACAGCTTCTCTGGGCAACCTGTTCCAGTGAACAATCCATACCCACAATGCTGAAATGAGATATCCTTCATAATATATGGGTTTTTTTTATATATATATATGTTTTTCAAATGCTTAAGTAACCAAAGGAAATTAATTTCTATTAAAGACTCTCTTATCCAAAAGTCTTTCCCATTCTACTGGGAGAAGCTGTTTTATTCAAACACACATAAAAGAATACGTTGCTTTAAAGCATAAATGAGGTTCATAGTCTGGTCTATTTTCTGTTGGGCTATAAATCTGTGTGGTAAAACAAACCTGCACAGTAAAACAAACTTTTAACATTCACGTGGGTACAGAAGCCTCTGAAAAGGCCTGAAGTCTTTATTCCAGTTTTCCTTCCAGGAGCTCTTGTATAAAGTTAGAAGTAAAAGCAGTTAAAATAAAAAGTGAAGAAAGTCACAAATAGCTAAGAGGGACATAACACACATTTTGACAACATTCAAGAAGATTCATTTCCACATGGACTCTCCGTAGAATCCGAAGAGACAGAAGCTGCGCAGACACTACACCACACGCATACAGCATGCAAAGAACAGAAAAGGGAGAGAAAAAGAACCCCTATATTTTTTTTCCCTGCAGTAAAATATTTCAAAGGTGGCACAGAACATTTAATGCACCCCTAAATATCCATCGGGGCGATGTGTCCCTCACCCCCACTTCCCTGCGCCCAATAAATGCTCATGATTCTACTTCTATCAAACTCTGGCACCATGTTTTCCAAACACTAAAAGCCATAAAAAAAAAAAAGATGGTGAAAATAAAAAAAAAAATCTTTATGTGGTCAGACTGTCTGCACCTCTCTCTGTCTCTCCCCACAGAAGTATATAATTAAAGACAGGCACCTACCACCCATCTCTCTGTATTTTACCACTTTCAAATTTTGGGGTCTTCCAATCTTTTAGAAGGAAAATCCAAATCACACAATTTGTTTGATAATGTAACCCCTGTTCCCTGAGGAGGCATTTACTAAAAATGATTATATGTATAGATAGAATTGGCACTTTGCATCAAATTACTGTAGTTAAAATAACGTATCAACCTGCGAAGATGCTAAAATTCCTGGTAAATTCCTTCTGGCACAGAGTCACACACACTAACATGAGATATTGTTTACAGGCAGCAGGGGGTGGGAGGAATGGATTAAAAAAAATAAATATTGCAGGTGTGCAGAACATAACAGCATTTCACATTTTCATTTGTGACATACACATCAAAGTGTCACCATTTCTGTTGTAATTAAGTCACAGATGCTGTGCATTTGTGGGAGTGAGGTCATACACACACACAGTGGCACAAATGGGATGGACCCAAAATAACACTTCTCATACGCAGAAAAAGGACTTATTTGCAAGTATTTTCGCTGGAGCAAAAGAAGGAAGAAAAGAAAGAATATTAGCAGCGGCGTCTTGCTTTGTTCTCCTCTCTTCTGCAACTACCCTAAAAAACAGGCAAGGAAACACCCAGCCCAGGAACAGGACTGAGCAACCTGTCAGTCTAAATAATACCAGCAAGTTTATAAATTGGGGGTAACAAAACACTCGAGCCCAAAATTCTCTACATCCATCAGTAAATAA